TCACAGTTTTGGGGAAACTTGTGGTCCAGATTTCAAGATGGAACCAAAAGGCCAGGGCCAAAAATGAAAAAAAAAAAAAAAAAAAAAAAAAAAAAGTCATTGCAATTCTTTAGTCGAGATGGATCTTATATCTTATTGGGTAGTGTTATAAAGATAATTTTTTTATTTTATGTTTTTATATAATTTGATATATTATTAAAATAATTAATTTTTTTATTCATATGAGATTTATAATATTAAATATATCAATTTTTTTTAATGATGTGTAAAAATTATACAAAAAATAAAATAAAATAATTGTCTGGATAACTTTTTTTTTTTTTTTTTTGACAAATGAATCGCATTGTTGCCACTGGCCACAAATCCAAAAACAATTATTTGTCCAGTCAACTCACGGCACTGCAAGAACCGCAAATATGTCACTGCCCTCGTTCGTGTTCCTTTCACGAAGATTACCGCCCGCCTCCACTTGCACTCTCGCAACCGCCACGTACCCGTAATCGTTGCCACGCTGGCACAATTCCGTCCGCTTTTCCCATCCCTCCGTATGACCATCACCGGATAAAGCCGGTATTCCCTTCAAAAAGAGCCACGTCCTCGACGGGCCCCACACGGCACAGCTGGAGTCGCTTTTACAGACTTAACCTCACAGTTTTGGGGAAACTTGTGGTCCAGATTTCAAGATGGAACCAAAAGGCCAGGGCCAAAAATGAAAATAAAAAAAAAAACAAATAAATAAATAAGAAAAAGCGCGACTGTGGGTTGTACCAAAATCAACCACTAAATTTCTGCCACTTGGCATCATCTGGTGGGTCGTTCTTCTCTGTTTTAACCTTTTCATTCTTTTGCAGCCTCAAATAATAACTCCCCCTAATTTTGAATTTTTTAGAAAAATAAATCTGCAGGAAATTATAGTGGCTGAGATTGCTCCGTACCTTCAGTCTGTAGTTTCTGGTGTTTAAGGTCTCTAAGAGAAGACGTTTCCACTTCTGCTTCTTCTATCTTTCTTCTTCTCAGCTGCTTTTTCTCTGTTTCGCGTTTCCAATCCTGTGATCCATTTTCCGACTTTCCGATCTCACCATTGCCGGAAGCTATGAGTTCCCCGGTGAGTTTCGGGTGAATTCGGTACATGCGAGATCGATGCTTTCATAGTTCTCATCCGCCATGGCAATCTTCCAAGGTATGCCATCGCATTTCTAGGGATTTTACCAGTCACTCTCCGTTTGGTTTCCGAGAAATCTCTGGACAAAAAATAATAATAATAAAAATGAAAAAGTAGATCACTCTGTTTACAATTCACTCTCGCACTCTGCTCAACTGAGCTCTAATCGTGTTTCTTCAGCACGGTTGAGTGGAGAGAGCCTGGTGATTAATTTTTCTCGGGAACCAAACAGAGGGAAAATATTTTTTCTAACATGTTACTGTATTGATGCATTATTGGTTGGTGTGTATGGAGGCGATTGTTGATTACTAATTTAAATTTCTCTCTTTCTTATGTTCATTCTCGTAAGGTTTTGGCGTCTACGGATTCGTTTTGGTGAGGATTCTGAATTAAGGAATTTACTTTTAACTTCTTTCAAGGAGAGAAGCTGTCTCTCTGTGTTACGGTGGATACTGAATTTTTTTTTTATTTTTTTCGAAGGATTTGTTTTTCCAATTTACTATGATTTAATACTAATTAAAAAATACTAGCACAATTTCAATGTCTGAAGTTGATGTGAATTGGAATGGTTGATTCTGCTGATAGAAAACAGAGACGGATCTCTACCGATTGTTTGTTGCCTTTTCTCTCTTGCAGTAATATTCAGTTATCAGGTTTTGTGGACTACAAGGACGGCTTTACTATTTGTTGTATTTCGTGTTTCAAGAAATGAAAGGAGGTTTGTGTTTTATCCATTCCTGGTTAGAGAGGATTTGAAGCAGCGGTAGCTGCGGAGATCCGGTGATGGATACATATTCCTCTGGTGAAGAGTTGGTTGTAAAGGTGTTTTCTTTTAGTCCTATGTATTTTTTGAAGTTGAGATTAGATTGTAAATGATATTCAAAGTCTGAAAATATGAAGTTTGTATTTGATTTTGTAGACTAGGAAGCCTTATACTATAACAAAGCAACGGGAGCGATGGACAGAGGAGGAGCATAACAGGTTCCTAGAGGCCTTGAAGCTTTATGGACGGGCTTGGCAACGCATAGAAGGTTATAATTTTCTTGCGCTGTTATATTATCATTTTCTTATGTTCATTTTTATTTCTGAAATTTTGCTTCTGTGGTGGATTTGGTAATAGAATTGTTTCTAAAATGATGTTGTTATTTTTCTCTTAATTGGACACTTGTCTCTTCTGTTCTCTGTTTATTTGATGTGCTGTAGAACACATTGGAACAAAGACTGCTGTGCAGATCAGAAGCCATGCACAGAAGTTCTTTTCAAAGGTCAATTGGTACCTTCTTGCCTTACTTATATCAAATGCATGTTTTTGCTTCTTAATTGATGTTTTCTAGCACATAGAGCAAACACTAGGATGAAATGATGTAATTTGTATTGGTCACTTTGGCAGAAGAAACTTCTTGTATTGATGTCAATATAATCATATTCATAATCAACAACTTAAAGACTAACAAATGGAGTTTGTTTGAGTTCTTCCAGCTCCATTTTTGAGGAAGTGGCTTGGACATGAGTCTTGTTAAAAGTTGCATCCTCATTTTTGTCAAGTAGTTTGATCCCCTTTAGTAAGTGATGTCTCAAAATGTTGGATTCTCCATCTAGCCAATCTTAGTGAAGGAGATATATTTGATAGAAAAGTTACTTTTGGTGCTGAAAGACATGTCATGTAAGATGATTATGCATTGCAATCTGAGAATTTATGAATAAAAAAGATCTAAATTTGAAATTTCTCCAAAAAACATTTTTCTGGAATAGCTGGATTTCCTTCATCCTTGATCTTCTAACCCTTCATCTAGGCGCAATTAAAGATTTAATTTCATGCAAAATGTTTTATTTGAATGTCTTGTTAAGGTAAAAATACGTGAACTTAATGAATTTTTTTACCATGACTTTGAGAATAGATGCAAAATGTTCTAGATTTGCTCCCCTCAAGGTAATTCTTTTATGTTTATTTCATTCTTGGTTGGTAGTTATCATCTTC